CTCCATAGTAACCTGTCATGTGTCTAGACAAAGATCGACTTTCACTTTTGTATTGTCCAATGTAAACAACACCTCCAATTACAGTCTGTCAATCAAAATGGCGTTACTTCGTCACAGTATATCAATTTCCTTGAAATCGAGGCTTTATGTACACGGAATCAGTTTCCGTGCGCTCAAGTCAAATTCCGTGTTTTGAACAGAAGATATTACAATATCATTTTAAGATGATTAGCAAGAATTTGGAGAGACTATATGCCGAGCACCGTTTTTACCACAGTTCATTTTACCGTCTTCATGATTTTGCAAGAGAATGGTTTCCTGAGCACGCAGTGGCGTAGCGAATCATTTTTCGGAGTGTTATATGCTTACAGAGGGTCGAGCGTCCGAAGCGCTCAGTTCCCTTCCCCTCCCAAAGCTGGCTCTCGTGTTCTGGGTACTCCTTTTATCTGATTATACATAAGTAAAACCCAACTTTTTATATCAATGATTTTAAAGGGACTATGTCCAGCTATGTTAAAATTACATAGGCGCCTGTCCCCTCATAACTGTTTTTTTCAGAAGTGCTACGGTATTTGTGCTGCTGTTTTAACTTTTTTTCAATCCCTAATACATCTGGAGTTTTTACTTAAAATCGCTCTTCTAATTATTTGGTTAATTAATTTTCCTTTCATGTAGTGCTTTTAAAAATAATATATTTATCATCGCTAATATAAATTCAATCAAACATTTTCTGAAATTTTAATGTAATATATAAGATTTTTCATTCTTATCATTCTTGTATAGCAAATATTTTTCATAGTATAAAAAAGTAGTGTTATTTCAAATATGTATGCAAAACTGCAGTCCAAAACAAGTGGTGGAAAGTATTCATTTCGCACAACAAAGTACCCTATGTTCCCCAAAATATGAGGTTCTAAGACTTCTCTCTGGTGTCCACCAAAAAACAATGCATCTGATTACGGGTAATTGGTAATGAAATTCGTTGCAAGCCAACAATAAACCTTTCAGTGTATGTTAGGTGCAAAACAATTCCTAATTTCAATTTATTTTATCATTTGATAAAGATTTTGTTAACAATCAATTTTGAGATCAATTGTAATTTTCTTGTCACTTTTTAGGATTTGTTCTCCTACATTTTATTATCATTTTTTTATACATTTTATCATCAGACTTTCGTTTTTACATTGCTTTTAGGGGATATTTCATACTCATTCGTTAATATTCATTTCCTATTGAAGAGTAAATCTTCGCGAAATCTCGTAAATGTAAAGGTACCCGAAATGTAAAAAAAAATCCATTATATAAATGGCTTTTGGATATACTGACTAAAAGTGGCATATATTGCTCAAATGAAGAAGTCAGTATTGGTCCGAAGTGCTACATAAGGTATCTGCGCAAAAGACAATTTAAACAGATAGTTTTGAACATGAAACTACTAGAAGTTTTCCTACCTTATAAAGATCAAAGACCTGTTTTACGGGTCCTGCTCACATAAGAAAAAATGTTGTTTTGTGTTAGCATTTTTAATTCGAAGGGAAGCAAATCCACACTTCTGCAAAAACCTTCCAGAATCAATTAGCCTTCACTCTCAATTTTTTCTATTGGATAAGCTTAGACAGGTTGGTGAAGAATTTTTTTTTTTCAAAATCCATTCATACTAGGTCCTATTTCGTCTTTCTTTAGTGTATATATACCAAAATTACTCAAAATGCTCTTTCAATGTTTTGGGTTATGAGGAAAAGTGATATCTCTTGTAATTAAGTGTTCCGCTGTTTTTGGCATTTTCCTGCCTAGTATTTAAAAAACCGTTCATTCTGTAGTACAAGCATTGAATAAATCTATAGTTCCAGTGTTCCTTGGCCTGACCATTTGAGGAGGGAACACATACTTTCACACAATACTTTATTCGCAGAAACATTCTTTGGTGACAAAGTGACAGCCTTAATAGATGGTACACATTTTTATATATTTAAAAAAGTGATGGCTACACTTTGGACACAGAAGGACCATTCTCTGGAAGCCGAACTGATGCAAGAATTACAAAAACGCTCACATGGTTGGAGCAAGACGACAATGTAGTCGTTGATCGTGGTTTTAGAGATGTCCTGCCAATGTTATAGGCATCTGGTATTAATACCAGTATGCAATCATATCTTAAGACTGGTCTGAGACAACACTCTAATCTACAGGCTAACATCGACAGAACAGTTACTAAATCCCGATGGATTGTCTTTTCATGGTTGTCTTAAGCATTGGATATTTTTTCGAACTCAATTAGTATAAACTTGCGTCATTGATGTAGTTGAGGAAGTGCTGAAGATTGTGACTGCATGTCTCAATTGGATACAGGGACCGATTTATCAAAGATTACCGGAAACTGACAGAAAAGACAGACAACTCGCACATCAAATGAAGTTTTTACTTACAAAAACAAACTGTTTGGCTCAGAGGGTGAAGACAACCAGCTGTCACCAAGAGAACTAAGTCAGAATTTGTAAAGATTATAAAATCTGGACGAATCAGCACTCTCAAGACTTCGTCCGTTGTCAGATTTGTTGCAGACACAAAAGCCAGACTAGATATAATGTTTGGATTCAGAACACGACACCAAATGATAATAATCCAATAAAAGATTACTACTGCCAATGCCCAGTTGGTCAAATAACTATGGGAATGTGTGTTCATGCATCAAGTATACTTTATTATCTTGGCTAGCATACCAATCTTCAAAATCCAAAACAGTTGCACCCAAGGGCTAAGAAGTTCCGACAAAGCTTGAAACAAGTTTCTTGTGAATCTAGATTCACCAGTTCGAAAACAAAATCAAAGCCTCGCATCATTGTTTTCCTCCTTCTTTTTTTTACCAAGTCTGCCATTCGAACACATATTATACTCTTGCATCTTGCAAAACATTATCTGTAAATGTCCTCAGCTGTTAATACGGCGTCTGACTTTAATAAATATATCAAAACAAGGTAACAAACAAACATACAATATCCGAATTCCATTGATATTGCAAGAAAATTGTCTGCGAATCTGACTACTGATTAGGCAGTAGAATGAATGTCAGGTGGCCGTCTTGAAAAGTGATAAACCAACGAATCTTTTCCTAACATGTTCTCTGTTGATAAACTATTCATTCCATCTAAACTGGAACAAATATTTTCTTCTTTTCTGTCAGTTTTCAGTCATAAATACTAGGCTATACACATAGGCATGAATTCTTATGTAAATTGTATAGACCATCTGGTCATTTGACCTTTCTTTGAATATGTTCCATCACATAGTTCGGATTGATATTGTTTTCGCTGGTATTCCATGACCTACTCCTTCTATGATCAAAATATATTTGGTATACAAAAGTTATAAGATATTTTTGTTCCACGATGAACACAATTTTGACTGGAAAATATCATTGCTTGAGATGGCCTCGGGCTGTTAATTTGTCCGTAAATATCTGATAAATCACCATAGCAAGATATTTTTACATGTATACTGTAGCATATGATCTTAAGTTTTTGTTGCATTAAAAATGATCCTTCAATACATTATTAGTTGAACAACATTCGTCTTTTGGTCAAAAATCTGACTTTTTGAGAGTTTCAGTTTTATGCTCCTACGAAAAACGAACCAAGCGCTCATTTGAATTTTTGGATGGTGTTTTTATTGTGATAAGGGTTAGGTCTACACCACACCAAAAGAAAATTGAAATCAAAGGAGAGGCCATTTTTTAAACCCCTCCTTTTGTACTTCACTGAGTAGTTTTGATTTACATAAACTTTCAATGATAATTGACATTACATAACAACACTGTTTTATCAGACTACAATCGAAAGTGTATTTTTTTTTGATTGATACAGACGGTCCATATTAATCATGAAAAAACAGGATAAATAAAAATATATGATTAAAAAAAACCAGAATTGATAGAGAGAAAGCGCCTTTAAGATACAGAATTGATAGAGAGAAAGCGCCTAAAAGAGACAGAATTGATAGAGAGAAAGCGCCTTAAACAGACAGAATTGATAGAGAGAAAGCGCCTTAAGAGACAGAATTGGAATAGACAGCGCCTTTATGAGACATAATCGAATGAGAAACAGCGCCTTAATGAAAAATCTTGAAAAATTTAGTGTATGCTTCAGGATACAAGCGCTACATGCATAGTATGTCACTGGGCACGGGCCCTGTGTAGACGGAAACGTTTCAACAGAGTACATCCATATTGCATCTTTGAATTTACGCTGGTTTCCGGTGAGGTCGATGGTTAGTTTAGGATGTAATGAGGCGAATAACGGCAAAAAGTTTAAAGGCAATTTCGGCTTAACTAGCAAATCTACAGCACTTTCTATGGTCGCTGGTTTAAAACATTTTAAGAGCGTTGCTAGGAAATATTTTTTCGAGTTTTAATAGACAAGATATACAAAAATTATATAATATTTGTGAACTATCAATTCAATAATAATTCTAAAGTGCCTTTACGTTGAAATATCACAATTCAAATAATACCTCATCTGATAACATAATCATCATAAAAAAGTTAACCACGTTCAAAAAATGAAGAAAATAGAGCGAAACCTTAATGAGACATAATCGAATGAGTGACAGCGCCTTAAAGAGACAGAATTGATAGAGAGAAAGCGCCTTCAGAGGCAGAATTGAAAAAGACACAGCGCCTTAAAGAGACAGAACCGAAAGAGAGACAACGCCTTAATGAGAGAATCAAATGAGAGAATTCGACTAAAAGAGACAGAATTGAAAGAGAGAAAGCGCCTTAAAGAGACAGAATCAAATAAGTGACAGCACCTTAAAGAGACAGAATTCAATGAGTGACAGCACCTTAAAGAGACAGAATTGATAGAGAGAAAGCGCCTGAAAGAGACAGAATTGATAGAGAGAAAGCGCCTTAAGAGACAGAATTGAAATAGAGACAGCGCCTTAATGAGACACAATCGAATGAGAAACAGCGCCTTAATGAAACAGAAACAAAAAGGCGAAAGAGCATGGATGAGACAGAATGGAATGAGAGAGAGTGCCTTAATGAGAGAGAATTGAATGAGAGAAAGCGCCTTAAAGAGACAGAATTGATAGAGAGAAAGCGCCTTAAAGAGACAAAATCGAATGAGAGGCAGCGCCTCAAAGAGACAAAACCGAAAGAGAGACAACGCCTTAATGAGACAGAATTGAAAGAGAGAAAGCGACTTAAAGAGACAGAATCAAATGAGAGACAGTGCCTTAAAGAGACAGAATCAAATGAGAGAATTCGACTTAAAGAGACAGAATTGAAAGAGAGAAAGCGACTTAAAGAGACAGAATCAAAAGAGAGAAAGTGCCTTCAAAGAGACAGAATCGTATGAGAGACAGCGCCTTAATGAGACAGAATTGAAAAAGAGAAAGCGACTTAAAGAGACAGAATCAAATGAGAGACAGCGCCTTAAATAGACAGAATTGAAATAGAGACAGCGTCTTAAATAGACAGAATTGAAATAGAGACAGCGCCTTAAATAGACAGAATTGAAATAGAGACAGCGCCTTAAATAGACAGAATTGAAATAGAGACAGCGTCTTAATGAGACAGAATCAAATGAGTGACAGCGCCTTAAAGAGACAGAATCGAATGAGTGACAGAACCTTAAAGAGACAGAATCGAGAGAGAGAAAGTGCCTTCAAAGAGACAGAATCGTATGAGAGACAGCGCCTTAATGAGACAGAATCAAATGAATGACAACGCCTTAATGAGACAGAATCAAATGAGAGACAGCGCCTTAAAGAGACAGAATCGAATGAGTGACAGAACCTTAAAGAGACAGAATTGAAAGAGAGAAAGTGCCTAGAGAAGAATGTTTGAAACTGGTTGGTATTCTGAGAAAATAAGCAACCGAAAGACGAGAGACTAAAAACGTAACTGTGTGTTAGGCATTGTAAATATATATAGTAAAACCCTAACATTATGTCGTCCGATTTATTTGCCACCTCGATCACGTACAGTTCAAGTATTTCAAGGTCGGATCCTCCACATCGTATTTCTATGTTTTGATTTGATATCTTTTCCTTAATATGTTGCAGGGGACATCTTTGCAATGGGCCATTTTCAGCAATGTCAATTAACATAAAAACTTAGAGGTGTCATTGTATCCAAAATCAAAAGAAAAGTGAAATTCTATGGCATCAATTTCTGTTTTGAGGGGCAAAGATTATGGTGGCTTATATATGACATTTCGTCTTTTCGCACAGTCGGAGTTGTAGTAGGCTCATTCGTGGTTGTAGTAGGCTCAGTTGTGGTTATTGACGTCTTAGTTGTGGTTGTGGTTTGCACAGTTGTGGTTGTTGTGGGCACAGTTGTGGTTTTGGTCGGCACAGTTGGGGTTGTAGCTGGCTCAGTTGTGGTTGTGGTCGGCAGTAGTGATTGTAGTGGGCTCAGTTGTGGTTGTTGTAGTCGGCTCAGTTGTTGTTGTGGTTGGCACAGTTGTGGTTTTGGTCGACACAGTTGTGGTTGTTGTGGGGACCGTTGTGGTATTGGTCGGCGCAGTTGTGGTTGTGGTCGGAACAGTTGTGGTTGTTGTGGGGACAGTTGTGGGTTTGGTCGAGACAGTTGTGGTTGTTGTGGTCACAGTTGTGGTTTTGGTCGGAACAGTTGTGGTTTTGGTCGGAACAGTTGTGGTTTTGGTCGGTACAGTTGTGGTTGTTGTGGCCACAGTTGTGGTTTTGGTCTGCACAGTTGTGGTTGTTGTCGGCACCGTTGTGGTTGTTGTGGGGACCGTTGTGGTATTGGTCGGCGCAGTTGTGGTTGTGGTCGGAACAGTTGTGGTTTTGGTCGGCGCAGTTGTGGTTGTTGGGGGCTCAGTTGTGGTTGTTGCTGGCTCAGTTGTGGTTGAGGTCGGCAGTAGTGATTGTAGTGGGCATAGTTGTGGTTGTGGTCGGCCCAGTTGTGGTTTTGGTCGGTACAGTGGGGGTTGTTGCTGGCTCAGTTGTGGTTGAGGTCGGCAGTAGTGATTGTAGTGGGCGCAGTTGTGGTTGTTGGGGGCACCGTTTGGGTTTTGGTCGGCACAGTTGTGGGTGTTGTGGGCAGAGTTGTGGTTTTGGTCGGCTCAGTTGTGGTTGGGGTTGGCACTGTTGTGGTTGTGGTGGGCTCAGTTGTGGTGGCTGTAGTCGGCTCAGTTGTGGGGGTTGTAGGTTATTGACGTCTTAGTTGTGGTTATGGTTTGCACAGTTGTGGTTGTTGTTGGCAGTAGTGATTGTAGTGGGCTCCGTTGTGGTGGTTGTAGTCGGGTCAGTTGTGGTTGTGGTGGGCAAAGTTGTGGTTGGGGTCGGCACCGTTGTGGTTGTTGTGGGGACAGTTGTGGGTTTGGTCGGCACAGTTGTGGTTTTGTTCGGCACAGTTGTGGTTGTCGACGGCACAGTTGTGGTTGTTGGGGGCACAGTTGTGGTTTTGTTCGGCACAGTTGTGGTTGTAGACGGCACAGTTGTGGTTCTTGGCACTGTTGTGGTTGTGGTGGGCTCAGTTGTGGTGGATGTAGTCGGCTCAGTTGTGGGTGTGGTTGGCACTGTTGTGGGTGTTGGCACAGTTGTGGTTTTGGGCGGCACAGTTTTGGTTGTTGGCACTGTTGTGGTTGTTGGGTTGTGGTCGGCACAGTTGTTGTTGTTGTGGGCACAGTTGGGGTTTTGGTCGGCACTGTTGTGGGTGTTGGCACAGTTGTGGTTTCGGTCGACACAGTTGTGGTTGTAGCTGGCGCAGTTGTGATTGTGGTCTGCACAGTTGTGGTTGTAGCTGGCGCAGTTGTGATTGTGGTCTGCACAGTTGTGGTTGTTGTCGGCACCGTTGTGGTTGTTGGCGGCTCTGTTGTGGTTGTAGTGGGCTCTGTTAGTTGTGGTTGTGGTTTGCACAGTTGTGGTTGTTGTGAGCAAAGTTGTGGTTGTGGTCGTCACAGTTGTGGTTGTAGCTGGCGCAGTTGTGATTGTGGTCTGCACAGTTGTGGTTGTTGTAGGCGGCTCAGTTGTGGTTGTGGCCGGCACAGTTGTGGTTTTGATCGGCACAGTTGTGGTTGTTATGGGCACAGTTGTGGTGGTGGTAGTCGGCTCAGTTGTGGTGGTTGCAGTCGCCTCAGTTGTGGTTGTGGTCGGCATAGTTATGGTTGTAGTGGGCTCAGCGGTGGTTGTGGTCGGCACAGTTATGGTTGGAGCTGGCTCAGTTGTGGGTGTTGTCGGCACAGTTGTGGTTGCAGTGGGCTCAGTTGTGGTTGGTGTAGTCGGCTCAGTTGTGGGTGGAGTGGGGACAGTTGTGGTTGTTGTGGCCACAGTTGTGGTTTTGGTCTGCACAGTTGTGGTTTTAGTCGGCACAGTTGTGGTTGCAGTGGGCTCAGTTGTGGTTGTTGCTGGCTCAGTTGTGGTTGAGGTCGGCAGTAGTGATTGTAGTGGGCATAGTTGTGGTTGTGGTCGGCGCAGTTGTGGTTGTGGGCGGCACAGCTGTGGTTGTTGTGGGCACCGTTGTGGTTTTGGTCGGCAAAGTTGTGGTTGTTGTTGACACAGTTGTGGTTTTGGTCGACGCAGTTGTGGTTGTTGTGGGTGCAGTTGTGGTTTTGGGCGGCACAGTTTTGGTTGTTGGCACTGTTGTGGTTGTGGTGGGCTCAGTTGTGGTGGATGTAGTCGGCTCAGTTGTGGGTGTGGTTGGCACTGTTGTGGGTGTTGGCACAGTTGTGGTTGTGGGCGGCAGTAGTGATTGTAGTGGGCGCAGTTGTGGTTGTTGGGGGCACAGTTGTGGTTTTGTTCGGCACAGTTGTGGTTGTAGCTGGCTGAGTTGTGATTGTGGTCGGCCCAGTTGTGGTTGTTGGGGGCTCTGTTGTGGTGGTTGTAGTCGGCCCAGTTGTGGTTGTTGTGGGAACAGTTGTGGTTTTGGTCGACGCAGTTGTGGTTGTTGTGGGTGCAGTTGTGGTTTTGGGCGGCACAGTTTTGGTTGTTGTGGGCTAAGTTGTGGTTTTGGTCGGCCCAGTTTTGGTTGTTGTGGGCTAAGTTGTGGTTTTGGTCGGCTCAGTTGTGGTTGGGGTTGGCACTGTTGTGGTTGTTGGGGGCTCAGTTGTGGTGGTTGTAGTCGGCTCAGTTGTGGTTGTGGTTTGCACTGTTGTGGTTGTTGGCACAGTTGTGGTTGTAGCTGGCTCAGTTGTGATTGTGGTCGGCACAGTTGTGGTTTTGGTCGGCACAGTTTTGGTTGTTGTGGGCACAGTTGTGGTTTTGGTCGGCACAGTTGTGGTTGTTGTGGGCACAGTTGTGGTGGTTGTAGTCGGCTCAGTTGTGGTTGTGGTTGGCACTGTTGTGGTTGTTGGCACAGTTGTTGCTGTAGTAGGCGTCTTTTCTCCCTCCTTATGGCGTTATTTCGTTATTTAGCTTCGGCGCTTTTTCCAGAGGCACATGTCAACTCTAGGATTGTCCCTGTTACTGCAAAACATTTTAAAAGAGACAATGACCTTGCAACGTTTCTTTCTATGTGACACTGCTCCGATAATTACCGACCGATTATCTGTCACGCGTCTGCTATTAAGCAAACTGATCCGACATTCTTTTATCCAAGTTGCCTCCCGTCGTTTACGCTCCGGCTGTATAACAATAGCTTGATAATTGATGGGGGATGGAACAGATTGCCTAAACAACAAGCGTCAGATTAATTTTTAGAAACAAATGTTAGTAAGATAACCTGTTGACATCTGTATAGGTATGCAAGCAATAACTGGGGCAATACAGATAAAATGCTTTGATGTCATGGAGGTCTATTTTGAAACATTTATCGCGTGCTCCTATAAAATGCCGAAATTTAACGACAGGGTTTGGCTTCATTTTTCAAGGTTGTCTTAAAATGTCCCTTTTATTTGATCTTTATTTTGCGAATTGCCTGTTTATCTATCTGCATCACAGCATTCAAAGTTAGAAAATTATAGCACTTAGATTTGTTGCTGAATCAATATGTAATTATGTCCTCGTTATCATGTTTGAATTAAAGATGCATGCTCCATTATGTTTTGCTATCTTTAAAGAAAAAAATGTCATGTTTTTTTGTTGTAATGTGTTTTAATTGGCTTAATGAAATGAAAAACAAGTTACATGGGCCAAGGTCACTCCGCTTTTATAGATTTTAAATATCCTCGTTTCACCTTCAAAACTTTTGACTATGGATTGGGGACTTTCACAAGCACGACAATAGCTTTACGAAATAATTTATGAAAAGGAAATCGATACTTGTGGATCTGTCATGAACAAATAATTAGATAAAATAAAGAAAATTGATCTACAACAGAGTTCTGAAAGTAAACATGCAATGGGGCCGGGCCATGATTTGAACCCTGGACCTCCAATTACTAGCTACCTGATCAACGGCGTCTCATTGGTCCAGTGCTATTTGGTTATCGGGTGGTCGGGTGGCTCAGTGGAAAGCGCACTCGCCTTTCACCAAGGCGGTCGCGGTTTGACTCTCCGATCGGACGTTAAACAGTATTTGGTAACCTGCCCGACTACGTGGTGTTCGTTCCACATTAAGTCCCTCTCCACGTTTCCATCCAAGCCAGGAAGAGTGATTTATACATTTGGAAAAAACCTTTCATAACTGTTGTAAAATGAATAAAGTTCATATGTATTTATTTCAAAACGAAACAAGAAGATACTGTCATCGATATTCTCCGCTTGCAGCGAACAAATCATTAGGTAACATATACACAGCTTCAGTTGACATTGACCGTAGTCTCGCTTAATCGGACGCTTGATCACTTGTAGTATCGTTCAACCAGATGCGTAATCACTTGTGATTCAAGAATCTGGTCAAACACAGTACTTTAAGGTGGCTCCACCCTTTCGCAATTAGCCAGCACAATTCAATGAAAGTTTCACATAATGGTTATGTCAAAATGTAGAGATGATTTTATGAAAATCTAAGCATTCTGATAATCTTTGGGTTTTTTTTTGTAAAAAATACTGAAAAATTGAATTTTTGTCAAATTCAACACTTTCACATTTTTTTGAGTGTGTGGCATTGTTCAAAACTATAACAACAATAACATAATGAAAACAAACATTGCTAATCAACCCTACAAATATTTTATTTATCATAAAATATCTACAACATGTTACAAAAAGCGTTTTTTTTATTGAAATTGTATGGATAAAAGTTACTTAATATAAGCTTAAAGCAAACAGGACACATAGAGTCATGCAAAAAGAGTGAAAAATTGAGCCAAATACACACAAAGTCTTTAAAATTCATTTATTCTCCATTTTACAATAATTTTGATCATGATGAGAGTTGTCTACCTTGAAAAAAATCGGAACTTTTTGCAGAGGGATAGAATTTATACCATGACACTTATTCTCTTTACTATACCAAAAACGACGGAAATAAAATAAATAACTATATATAATTGTCAATTTACTGTTCTCTTATGGAACGAAATTACTCTCAATCATGTACACTTTGGACATCAATCCATAGCCCGTTTATACATGTCATGTACATATGTAACCATAGGCTATCGCATGGTATGCCGTTATCACGTGCACGCACATGCACTTGCATTTTATAGGGATCTTGATATTTTACGAATCTGTATTTGTGAAACGTTTTATCTGACAGAGCGTAACTCGCTCGACAACAAAAGTCGTAGCGACCAAGAGCTTGTGAACTACTGTTAGCACGTGATACGTACAGGTGAGGTCGGTTAACAAAACGCATCAGTCTGCTTTCCATGCGCCTCATATACGACCTTCTTGAAGTCGTCTGATCTTATGTCAGTGTCTTACTGTGAGTTAATTAATGTCTTTCTATCATAAGCTTTATTTTAGAAGTATGTGTGATTATCGGGTGTTGACATATCATCGTCACGCACGTGTACTATTGTTTACCCGGTGTTACTATAATTTACACTACGGTAATGGAATGCCCGATACGCAATACGGAAATGACGACACGAATACACGACAAGAAAAACATGTGTATTACGATGGGTGGGAAGTCCTTAAAATTACCATCACCAAAGGGCAGTGTTTTTACTTTCGTGTCCGGACGTTATGTCAACGCCGTTAAAACATTTCAAAGAATAGTGAAATTAATGAAAAAACTTACCTGTACATGCATTCCTGTAGTATCCGTGTATTCACTATTATCGAGAAAAATGTAAGAAAATGTGTCTCATCTCCAGAATAATGCCATATTTCTCCACCGAATAACTCATAACTGAGCACAAAGCCAACAAGGCTGACCGAGGTTGGAAAAAAGCATGCAAAGCAAGTGAGATTTTACCTTTACACCATTCGAAACACTACAAATTCTCACTCTGGCATTTTCTTACATTTTTCTCGATAATAGTGAAATCAAGGATACTTCAGGAACACATGTACAGGTATATTTTTCATGAATTAAAATAATCAATGCAATTTTGCGCCACTAAAATTCTGACTTCAAAAGTTGAAAAGGGTGTGTCTAACGTTGACCAATGAACTCATTTACCAGAATTCTGGTGAGCCTCGTTCTGACGTATTTTCGTGTCGTCATTTCCGTATTGCGTATCACCGAATAGTACGCGTGCGTGACGATGATATGTCAACACCCGATATCGAGACTTTCTGATTACTTGGAAATCATGTGTAATCACACGTACTTCAGAAATAAAGCTCTGACATACAAGTTCTTTATTAACTTTAACGATCAGGCGACCTCACTTAGGTCGTATATGAGGCGCATGGTATGCAGACTGATGTGTTTTGTTTACCGACCTCACCTGTACGTATCACGTGCTAACAGTAGTTCACAAGCTCTTGGTCGCTACGACTTGTGTTGTCGAGCAGCGAGTTACGCTCTGCCAGATAAATCGGTTCACAAATGCAATTACAATACTCTGTGAAAATAGTGGTTTGTAAAATATCAAGATCCCTATAAAATGCAAGTGCATGTGCGTGCACGTAATAACGGCATACCATGTGATAGCCTACGGTTACATATGTAGGGTAAGCAGACTATGGAATGATGTCCAAAGTGTACATGATTGAGAGTAATTTTGTTCCATAAAAGAACAGTAAATTGACAATTAAATATAGTAATTTAATTTATTTCCGTCGTTTTTGGTATAGTAAATAAAATAAGTGTCATTGTATAAATTCTATCCCTCTGCAAAAAGTTCCGATTTTTTTCAAGGTAGACAACTCTCATCAGGATCAAAATTATTGTAAAATGTACAACGAATTGATTTTAAAGACTTTGTGTGTATTTGGTTCAATTTTTCACTCTCTTTGTATGAAACTGTGTGCCCTGTTTGCTTTTAGCTTGTATTTAGTAACTTTTATCCATACAATTTCAATAAAAAACGCTTTTTGTAACATGTTGTAGATATTTAATGATAAATAAAATATTTGTAGGGTTGATTAGCAATGTTTGTTTTCATTATCGTATTGTTGTTAGAGTTTTGAAAAATATATTTTCGTTTTTTTTACAACCCCC